CGATGGTGAGGCCCGCGAGAGCGGCTACGGCGGCCGCGCCGGTTCGGAAAGCGATGCAGTATCGGGACGTCGCTGGCAGCCGGGTGAAGTTGGCCCGACCGGAATGGCGCTCCACAAGGGCAGTTGGGTCAGGCCGGGTGACGAAATTGCCAGGACTGTAAAGGTCCGTTTGCTGGTCCAGGGCCGGGGTCACGGTGACGTAATGCTGCCCGTCCAACGAGACTTGCAGGTTACGGTCGCCCATAGGAGATCCTCTAGTGACGCAGCTTATGGTCGGCTGCTCCCGCACATAACCCCACCAATAGTAGACGGTCGCCAGAGGCTGGTAGATTGCTGGCGTCACCAGGCCGTTCAGCTTGCAGGTCGCTGACGTGGCAACCAGGTCGAAGTCCGAGAAGGCGCCCGGGAAGGGGGCGGAGTCTAAGGGGATCGTCGGTTGGAAGGGCGTCGTCAGCTGGTCAGGCGGTGGCGGCACGTTTCGGAAGTTGTGGGGGTAGAAGTCCGCTGAGCAGGAGCGGAAGTTTGCGGCGGTTAGTGAAAGTAGACGCTCTCTTTTGGAAGGATTCTTTTTCATCTACGTCACAAGCGACGGGTTCCTTGCAACTTGGGAAGAGAGATCCGCTCAGATTCAGGGCTTTTCAGATCTCAGTTAGGTCAAACATATGACGGTTACAAAGCCAAAGTAGCTGATGCAAATCCATGACCACACGGAAAGAATCAAGGGTGGAGGTTTTGGACACATTTTTGGGACGGTGATCATAGCACGGCAGCTCGTGAGAAACGTCCGCAATCATTCTCCCAAGGGTGCAGGGTACGGTCATGTGAGTCGTCAGTCCGTACGTTCGCTCAAAGACGTGAAGATATAGCTTCTTTGTTGAGCGGCAAAACGTGGGCGAGCGGCGTTGGAGAACTCACCGTAGTAAGTAAAAGCCGCCCCCTCGGGCGTAAACGTTCTTCCGTCGAGGCTGACCGTCAGCGCTACCGTTCCCGGCTGTGACAGGCCGATAGCCGCGGCCGCGGGCGCGGTGCAGCTGATTGTTGACGTCTCGGGCGAGTAGGAGCCGTTGATTTTGAGCGACCCAAACGCGCAGACCGGCGGCTTAGAGCGCCCATGCGGGAGCTGCCCCGAAACTAGGATGGAGACGTTTGTTCCCCCGCTGAGGGGCCCAACGCTTGGGAAGATGCCCTCCATGCAGGCGGGCGCGGTCGGGTACCGAACGGACCCACCTGCGATTAGTAAGAACGGTGAGGAGCTGTTTTGAGATCGCATGTTGCTGACGAATCATTGCAACGATCACCCGATCATATCTATCGCTCATGTTTTACCTGTTTTTGAAGAGGACCCATTCCTACTCCTTGCAATCCTTTCTTCTTTTGTAGGCTCGCGTCAGAGGATCAGCGCTGCCTCAGAGTTTCTGACGTGTTAATGCCTTTGGGGATACTCAATCTAGCAAACAGGTTGAGCACAGTCCCCAGAGTACACGTATAATGAGCAGAGTGTCTTGATGAAAGGTAGTCAGAAGAATTGTGTTCCTTCCTGGAATTGCAACATCAAAGGAGTAGCTTCAGCGCTAAGCACAGTTGGGCCCAAAAATCTTGCCCTTTGCTCACCACCTCAGAGAAGGGTCTTCAAAGCGCTTAGGGGTCAGGACGACTTAATCTGGATGCTCTTGCAATTTGAATGAGGCTGCTCCAGATCCAGAAGAGACTCACCGCCAGAGGTTGCGTAGAAGCCGTCGACCCCTGTCCCGTAAAACAGGTCATAGAACTCTCCGAGCTGGCCCTGGTCCCCCCAGTGCTGCAGCTCGCTGAGCAGCTCCTCGTCCGTCAATTGGTGGGAACCGACGTACAGATACGGGCGCGGCTCCGCTGCCCACTCCAAGCCGTTGAGAGAAGCGGTGACGCTGACCAGTCCCCCGTCCTGACCCTTGGGGCTCACGCACGAGACTGAAGGCCAGGGGTAATCTGGGGTTGCCCGGTTGTATGTACCGGCCACTCGGGAGGAGTTGACGAGGCAGCTTGGGTCCAGGAAGTTGGCGATGTCGTCGTCGGTGAAGTTGGCCGGCAGTGGCTGCCGGTTCATCAGCCGCACCTCCAGGACGCCGCCCCCGAGGGGAGTGGACGGGGGCGAGACGGAGTCGACTGACAAAGGCTCTGGAAGAGAGTCGAAACGTAGAGCGACCATCAGACAAGTGAGGAGTTCGGGTGGTGGGGACTGCTGCTCGATTATACCCTTCTGAGGACGTTAGCTGGTACGTGGGAGCCTAAGTTATTGATTCTATACACAGCTTTACATGGACTTCGGCTTCCTTCTCCTGGTCCCAACACACAGCAATGAGGTTTGAGGGTTTGAGTTTCATTCAACTTAGAATGAAACAAAGCAATGTTCTTATTCCGGGCCGAAAGCTTCAGTAGCTAAACGACTGTCTCAGGCTTGAGTCTGAGTTCCGGCTCAAGAGGCGCCCTTCAAAACATTCTGCTGACGGAAGCTGGAAGACTTGGCATCATTGACGCTTCAGCACCTTGAATCGACATTTGAATCAATTATTTTCTTACCATGATACATCAGGCTGCCGAACTTTTTGAAGAGGATGCCGTCAGCGCTCAGTTCGAGGTCCACTTCTTTGCTGCCCCCCGTGAACGGCGGCACAAGGAACGTGACGGTGGGTCCGGAGGAGGCCCGCGGGTCGTAGTTGGTGATGTGGCCGCCTTGCACGACGGTGGTCGAGTCGAAGCGGCACACCAGCCAGTCGTTGTAGTAGAGCGAGGTGGTGTACCAATAGTTTGGGGTCAAGCTTGGATTCAGCAAGGTGAGGGTTAGGTAAGCCCCGCCTGCAATGGTTGACGGCCAAGACTTGGACTTTTTGATGGGTTAAAGGAGAGAAAGGAAGAGTTATCTGTGGACACTGAGAGTTGAAAACGGAAATTGCATTTAGGCACGGCTCCTTTTGATTTAGAGTGTCCATTGCTCGAGAAGGTCATGAGTGAACAAGTTTTGACTCGACGAGATTAGAACCTCCAAGTCTATGGGCCTGGACCAACGGGAGGAATATCAGCCATCAATGTTTGTCCCTCGATACCTCAACCGAAGTTTTTGGCTTCCATTTTTGATTTATTTCTACGCTGATAATGTGCAAGTCTGGTTGCCGTTTCTGATTCAAGCTGTGATCTTTCGCAACGAAGCCGAGGGAAGACGCCTACGCAGAAAAGGCTTAATGTGCTCATCACAGAAACCCAAGTCAGATGATGGCCGCGCTTCTATTCGAAATGCAAGGGTTTCAAGGACCTGACTCTCACCCGAGGTAGAGAAGGCCCCCGGATAGTATGCGTCCACCAGGTCAGTAGACGCTGCAAAGGAAATACAAAGCAGGGAAGTTCTGAAAAGAAGTTCCCGAGTTTTTTCAAACAGTCCGATCAGTCCCTGGCCTCAAGAAACTATGCCCTATGCTTTGTCAGGATGAAATCCTCTTTGCAAGTGCCAAATTCTTGGGACGCGGGATTTTCTTGTGCTTGAGTGGTTCCACGACTTCGCAAGCTGTTTCGAACCCGCTTTTGGCAGAGCCGCGAGGGAGAAGCCATCTGAATACCAGGTTGTTCAACCCTTTGCCGGGACTGGTCACTAGCGTCTTACAGCGGCCTCTCAACATTCAACCGTCACCCTTTTCGATCCAAAGCTTCCCCGCAACTGTTTGTGTGCTGCTGTTTGGCACTCATGCCAGCTTACCTGCGTATCGAGCGAGCCAAGGCCAGTTGTTGTTAACAAGATCCGGTTGAGCTGCAAGGACAGGACGGAAGTGTTGTCATGAGCGCTTTCACAGTGAGCGTTTCATATTCGAATTGTCGGCTGACAGAGAACTTCGCGAAAGACTTTGCATTGAAAGACGGGCCGTCCTTAGCAGATTACTTGCATCCAGAAAGGAATATCCAATTTAGGGAAAAAGGGATCGAGGACTTACGTAGGTAAAAGGCAGGGACGTTACTCATGCGCACGCCGTGGATCAAAACACGAAGCGTGTAGGTCCCTGCTTGCGAGACCCCGCTGAAATCCAGCTTGAAGCGCGCCGTCGGACTGGCGCTTTCAAATTGATAAGGCTCGAAGCTGATAAGCGCCTCCCAAGGAGACGGAGTCGAGAATCCCTGAGGATATAGTTGCGCGCTTATGCCGCTCATGTCGTCGCCGACCCAGATCTGGTTGCCGTACTGATCCTTTGGCACCATCCAGAAGCTGCAAAAGAAGCGGAGGACTATCTTGGTGCGCGAGCTTGCTGTGCACCTCGACACTCTGTAATTTGCTAGGTTCCAAAGCACGCTCACAAATGATTTGACACAGTTCGTGTCCCCTGTAACGAGTTTTGGATTCAAAAGGATGTACGATTCTCAGATCGAGGCATGCTACGTTGACAAACTTCTTCTATTCAGACCGCAGAACATGTTTTCAAATCGAAGTTGCATGTTGGTTTCCTCCGCTACTCATGGCTTCCAAGGCTTGTAAACCTCTTCATCAACGCAGGTTGCAGCATGTTCTCTGCGGCTTGCTAGCTTTAACGTCCGCTAATTCTGCCGAAGGTTACTCAACAGCAGATTGACTGGCAGTTGCATGGAAGTAGCTATCCTTCTAGTCCTTCTTTTGTCTTGATAAGCCTTGCAAGACAACCGCTTTTTCTTGGTTTCAACTCACCTGACGTTGGCGGAAGCCCTTGAGAAGTTGCCGGGGACGACGAGAACAGAACGCCCTGCATCTATCGGTGCGTCCTTTGGAAGCAGCACAATCTGCTGCGCTTCGACGACGGAGCTTCCCGCCGAATCCTGCAGAACTACGCGGTATCTGCCAGCAAGCTTCGCGGCATACGTGACCGAAAAAGTGCCGTCGTGAAGCTGCGTCATGGAAACCGTCAAGTTTGTCGCCGGACACAGGGGATGAACGACGTCTACAGCCAAAGGAGCCGATCCGTTTGTTGTGGCCGTCGAGTTGTCGACAGTTGGACACACCACCACGGTGGGAGGAGTGGTGATCAAGTTGCCAGCTGCAAGCGGACAGGGAGCTCTTCAACCATAAGACGCCTTTTCTGCTCGGTCAAGGTATCAAATTGAGTTATCTTCGTCCTGATTGATTTCTTGCTGATATAAAGCTATTTTGGCTGCTTTAAGATGGAAACTTCTCCAATTGGGGACCATCCCCGGTAAAGTCCTACTTTCGAAATGATTGCTTGACCGGAAAAGTCAGACGTAACTCCAGGTCGACATTATTGAATTAGAAGCAAGAATATCCGAAACTTACGGTGCCAGGATGACTCGGATCATGACCATGTTAAATGAATTATTGGTCGATGCCCCAGAAAAGCGATGGAACCTGAGACAAAGAATGTTGGCACCTGTACAGAGTGAACATTCTTACGAAAAGAATTTGGGTAGGTAGGCAAAATGCAACTGAAATTCTGAATGCTTCGGTTGGCCCTCACCAGCATCGCGCTGAATCACGGTTACCGGGCTCTCATCCTCCAGGTCCAGTGTGACACCATCAGCGAGAATCAGGCGGCTGGTTGCGGGGCTGATCGCACCAGGTCGGATGACCAGGTTCTGAAGGAGAAACAGCGAGGACTTGTGAAAGGGATCCCCCGAAGAGATGGCGAAGTGACATCAGGAAGTTACACGGGCTCTTAACGATGATACTGAATTACTCAAGTCAGAAAAATGTTGTCAAATGTTGTCAAACGCATCACACCCAGGTCGTTGTATGGTCGCCTGGATTGAGGCGTGCCCCAACCTTCCGCATCACACCCAGGTCGTTGTATTGTCGCCTGGATTGAGGCGTGCCCCAACCTTTCGCGCCGCCAATCTTAACCGTTGCAAAGAACACTTAAACCGTAAGTTCTCGCCTGTACCCTATTATGAGCTTTTAAACAACTCTAAACTTTATTCATTCGATAAGAAGGCACTCAATCAGTCCTTAACCAGGTCCGGTTGATGGTAGTTCCGCCTTGCATTTGACACACCCCCACTTAGAGTAGTGTGGAGGACTCGACAGGAACGAGGGGAATCGAACACTCAAGCGGCCATGACACCCTGGAATTAAGCTACTCACCTCCTCTTAAACCTACTTTTGTAGGATAAACGTCTATGATAAACAATAAGGTTTTGAATCTCTTACCTGCGGCAGATTCAGGGGCTGGTAGGTTTTCCCAGTGCAGACGTCCGGCTGCCGGACGCACACTAACGGCCTCGCCTGGACAGCGAAAGCTCCGGCCACTTGCGGGGAGAAACTGAACGGGCCCTGGCCCGGCGCGCTCTCCACTTTCGTCTCGAGCACAGTCCCCGTGTCCACGGCGACCAGAACCAGCTCCAAAGCCAGGCCGCTGAGCTCTGCACAGTTGTATGCGTCGCCGCCAAACGCGGCCGCGTAGCGCGCGCAGTTCGCGCGGATGGAGAAGCTGAGCGTGTCGCCGGAGACGGCCTCGCTCGCGTTCGCCGAAAAGTCTAGGTATGGCGTCATCTCAAACGGTTGGAGGTGGCGGGGTGTGACGGTGTACGTGGCGCTCGCTGACTCGTCCTCCGAAGCAACTGAAATGGTCACAGGCGCGCCGTCCGCGGCAATACCAAAAGTAGCGTTAGCAGCCCGGGGCGTGGAGCCGTCAAGAACGACGGTCGAGTTGGCGTGTGCCGCCGCGACGGCGATAGTGGAGGCGGCAGCGTTGCTTGGCAGGACCAGGGTGTAGGCGTAAATGCTGGGAGAAAATGCGGGGCGAAGCAGGCCGGGGAAGGCGGTCAGCTGGCCCAGCTCCGTCCGGCGACGCGGAACGGAGAACGG